GTGTGTGATTTATATTGCATGGTCAGCCATGTGAAATCTGGCTTTCTCAACCACCAGGCTATGGACTGGCTCTTGACATGGTTCTTTTATGAGTGGTTGTGTTAGAGAGGAATAAAGTAGATAATGACAAGAGAATAATGAAACTTTAATTACTGTCAATGTATACACTCATGGGTTTCAGTGAGGAATAGAATTGGAATTTCCTGAGTCCATGAAGATCATTTAGTTTCCTTTTCCATAAATCTTGTCTCTTATTTCCTACAAACCTAGAAATGAAAAACATTATTGTCTGGTGACCCCAAGATTATAATTTCACTGAAGTGCTTTAGGTTGCCTACTCTCCTGAAATTACCTGCCAGACTAAGTTATTAGAAGTGGAGCTTCTTTCATGACTTCTATTGAGTGCTAGAAAAGTATTATGCTATTCTGTATAAAGTGTCAACAGATGAAAACAGCGTGATCTGAGGACTTGACTATCTTCTGCTTTCTCACTCATAAATCCTTCTAGTTCTCTTATAATATCAAATTAAAGACCCTTTTGATGTATATCATATTTTCTATTTGGTATTTGATCAGTTTGTTTTATGACTTGACTTTTTTGCATGTGCGTCTATGTAGTTGACTAGTATGAATGGAGAGAAATGCAATGAGTACTGTCACAGAGATGAGCAACTTGTGTGGGCATCTGTCAGTTATCCCCACTCTGATTCTGCTCAAGTTTATTTGTGTTGTGGAAACCCTAGAGCCAAGTACCAGGGGAGTCCTAATAAGCAGCTCTGGCAAGCATAGAATTGATGGCAGCTTCATTATAATTATACTTCTTTGCACGGTTGCCCAGCTGTATCATTATAATAGCTTTCCATACTAGAGGCCAAATAAGACAGAGAGATATACAAGCTGCTCAATATATTTCAACAAATTACATTACAATCGATGCCTATTTTCCTCTTGTAAATCACCCCCTACTCCATCCAGCCTATCAGTTTTCTCACAACAAGACAAAATGCAACTCTAACTGTCCCATTTAAGTACACTGTATTGAGAACTATTTTTTCTGTTATCCAGAAGAATAATGTGTTTTTCCTTTTCTTGTTTTGAAATTCAGATTTTATTTGCTTTAATAAGTGGTGTGAGTATATAATACGTATAGGATAATAACAATTGCAGATTTTTAGGAAACATTTACTATATGCCAGAAAATGTACTAAACACTTTACATACATTTAATTTAATCCTTGAAAACTCTATGAGATTTGGGACCAGCAGGTGGCATGGTGGTTAAGGTGCTGGATGCTCCCACATGGCCGACCATGGTTCGAGTCCCAGACCTGGTGGCTTCCTTTCTCACTTTCCCTCGCTCTCTTTCCTCCTCTGTGTCTCTCTCTGGTCAAAAAAATAAATGAGTGAATAAATAAAATTAAATAAATAAATAAAAAAAGAGAAAGCTTCATTTAAAGAAAACTCTATGAGATTGGTGCTTCAGATGAGAAAAAGGAAGCTCAGAGAGGTGCAGTTACCTTACTCAATGTTGCTCATGTAGTAACTACATAGTCTAGCAGGGAAATGAATCCAGGCAGTCTTCAAACTCCTTCGTTGATTTCCATTTGGTTAGCTCTAGAAATCCTGAATGTCTGCTCAAATAGTAAAAGTAAAATTCTATTGCCTGGTAAATAAACTCAGTGCCTGGTAAATAACCTCAGTTTAAAAATTATTGCTAGGGCCAGTAGGTGGCATGGTGGTTAAGGATGCTGACTCCCACATGGCCAACCGTTGTTTGAGTCCCAGGCCTGCTAGTTTGGTTTCTCACTTTCCCTCTCTCTCTCCCCCTCACTCTGTTCCTTTCTGTTCAAAAAATTAATATAAATAAATAAATAAAATAATTCTTTAAAAATAAGTTATTCCTTCATTAAGTGGCCAACTATTACATGAAAAGATGGTCAACATCTTCAGTAATCAGTGAAATGCAAGTTAAAACCACAGTGAAAAACCATTATACATTCATTAGAATGGCTAATATTAAAAAGATCAACAATTCCTATGTTGCAAGATTGTGAAACATCTGGAACTCTTGTGTAGTACTGTACAAACACTTTAGAAATCCTCTTGGTATATATGTATATATATAGGTATGTATTTTTTTTGAGAGTTTTTTGCTATAGGGTATGTACACTTGCCAGAGATACAGAGAGACAGAAAGCGAGAAATAACCCTCCAGGGTGTATGGCCATGCTGCAGTCCCTTCTCCTCAAATCTCCTCTAGTGATCTTGGGCATGCACGCACTCGTGCCTGGCATGAGTTAAGCCACTGGGCCCAGGACTTGAACTATGGTTGACCACATGTGAGTCCAGTGACATAGCCATTACGCCAACTGCTGGTCCCTACTGCTTGGTAATTTTAAAAAACATTATATATACACTTACTGGGTGAGGTAGAGTCATCAGAAAGTTCATGAAAAATATGTATTATGAAAAGGCTATGCATGGGGGGACCAGCAGCATAATGGCTATGTCGCTGGACTCCCATGTAGTCGACCGTGGTTCGCGTCCCGGACCTGGTGACTTAAACCTCACGCTGGGCGCGTGTGTGTGCGTGCCCAAGATCCTGAGAGGAGAACAGAGGAGAAGGGATTGTGGCGTGGCCATCTCCCCTGGGGGGAGGGGTGATTCCTCGCTTTCTGTCTCTCTGCCTGTCTCTGTTTGCGGAGCCACGGGCCCTATAGCAAAAACCCCTCCAAAAAAAAAAAAAAAAGACTATGCATGAGTTTAAATTACTAATTTCTGCACAAAATTAAACTTGCCTGCTAATTCCATTTTTTCATGAACCTTTTGAAGTCCCCTATAGTGGTGTTTTAAAAAATGTGTAAATTCTGTAACCCTTATTTTAAAAAAATAATAATTTTACATGATTCGTTGTTATTATTTTTAAACTTGCTGTTGTCATTGGAGAGAGAAAGAGATGGTGAGAAAGCAAGCTTCCAGGTCTGAGACTCGAACTGTGGTCAGCCTGTGGGGGTCCAGTGCCCTAACCACTATGGCACCTGTTGGCTGTGTAATCCTCATTTTAATTCACTGGTGATGGAGCGGCAGTGAGAATTTTTAAAAAATGTTTTCAACTCTCAATTATTGCTGAAGAGAATGAAAATGACACAGCCACTTTGGAAGACAGTTTGGCAGTTTCTTACAAAACCAAGGACACTCTTATCATACTGCCCAGCAATCATGTTCCTAGGTATTTACTGAGATGACTTGAAAACTTATGTCTACACAAAAGCATGTTTTTAGCAGCTCTATACATAGACCAAAACTTGGAAGCAACCACAATATTCTTCAGTAGGTGGATGGATAAATAAAGTGTGGTACACCTAAACAATGGAATATTATTCAGTTCTATAAACAAATGAGCTAGTTATTGAACTATGAGAAGATATGGAAGAGGGGGACCAGCAGTTAGTGTAATGGGTATGTCACTGGACTCCCATGTAGTCGATCGCGGTTCGCGTCCTGGACCCAGAGGCTTAAAACTCACGCCCAGCGCATGTGCGTGCGTGCCCAAGATCCGGAGAGGAGAATGGAGGAGAAGGGATTGCGGTGTGGCCATCCCCCCTGGGGGGTGATTTCTCGTATTCTGTCTCTCTGTCTCTCTCTGTTTGTCTGGCGAGTGCACACGCCCTATAGCAAAAAACCTCTCAAAAAAAAAAAGATATGGAAGAAACTTAATTTAGTATTACTAAGAGAAAAAAGCCAATTTTAAAAGAGTACATACTATATCATTCCAACTATATGACCTGAAAAAGAAAAAACTGTGGAGACAACTTTAGGTCTGTGGTTGCCAGGGATTAAAGGGACAGGAGGGAGGGACACATCTATAGGCATAGAGGATTTTTAGGACTGTGAAACTGTTGTGTATGAATACAGTGCTCAATACATGTCATTGTATGTTTGTCAAAACTCATGGAATATACAATACCCAGAGTGAACCCTAATGTAAATTATGGATTTTAGGTGATAATGGTATGTCAGTGTAGGAGTATTGATTATGGGATGTTATACATGTGTGGGGGTGGATTATTATGGGAAATCACTATAAATTTGGCTCAGTTTTGCTGTAAACCTAAAACTGCTCTGAAAAATAAAGTCTATTAAAAAAAACCACATTGAATCAGTAGTTCCTCATTTTTTCTCATATGGGCTTAAATCGTAAGTTCATGCCCATGTACCTTCAATAGAACACTAAACTGCAGTGCTGGAAGTCACATGGCTGACCACAGGTTTCCCCGAGTCAGCTTGAAAATGCACTGGATGGAAGAAGAGAAAAAGGGAAATACATAAATGATTGTAAATTGTTTAATGTGGTTTTGACATTCATTGTTTCCTCCCTTTCTCAAAAGAACAAATTTGCAAGAGATCTTTGTTGTTATTTTCAGTATCCCATGTTAGGATGTCACTATTTAGTTTACTTTTGAATTTTCATTGGATGGATATCTTCAGTGTACCTGTGGACTTTATTAATTGGGAGTAATCTGGTATTTGAGGTTTTACTTCTTACCGATTGTCTTTTAGTTGGCAAGGTTTCTGTGTTACATATAAAGCAGGATCGCTGTGAAGTAAAAATATTATTTTTAATAGTAATAGAGATCACTTAGAACAGAATATTACAAATTATACAGGGTCAGCCAGTGGCATGTAGATTAAAGTAGCTGGATCCCACATGGCTGACTGTGTGGTTCAAGTCCTAGACCTGGTAGCTTGAAAAACACACCAGGTACATGTGCATGTGTGCTCCAAATCCTGAGAGGAGGATGGAGAAGTGATTGCAGAATGGTCATGCCCCCCTGGGAAGGGAAGATTTCTCATTTTCCCTCTCTTTCCTTGTCTCTCTCTCCAGTAAGTGATTGTACCCTATAGCAAAAAACTAAAACTAAATAAACAAACAAAACCCTGCAATCTTCCCTCTGAAAATTAGTAATCACTACTCTTCATGATTTTCTGTGTTTTGCCAGATACTGACAATATGAAGCCATTGGAAGGTGTAAAAATTCTGGATCTAACAAGGTTTGTATTGGTTTATTTATTTTGGTAATTTTTTTCTGTCTCTCAGAAATGTATATTTATTCTTTTGATTATAAGAAGATATTTATATGCTTATGTTGAAATTTTAAAGAAAAAAAAGAAAAAAATTCCTGTAGTTTTAGTATTTATGGTAACATTTTTGTATTTTCTCAATCTATTTATTTATAAATAATTTTTCAAAGCAAAAAGTGGAACCATATTGAAATAAATTATATCAACATTTTAAATATTTATTTTGAATATTTTCCAACATCATTCAAAATTCAACAATAAATAAGATGGTATTTTATTATATAGATGACATACGATTTATTAATTATCTCCAGCCTTTCACTATCATAAGTTAGGCTTCTCTGTGCCTAGTAAGTCCTACTTTACAGAGATAATGCTTCATTTATGTAGTCAATGATGTCTTTGCCACAGTTTTGATTTTTTTCCCTTAAACGCTAGAAATAAAATTACTGGACCAGATGGGATATGCTCCTTTAAGCTCTGATATTTATGTCTCAAGTACACTTTAGCAATTTGAATTCCTGCTAGCATTAAGTGAGCTTATTTGTGTTGATGGACTATGAAGAAAATAATTAACATAAAAAATTTAAAGTGGTAATTAATTTATCATTGTTAATGTTTAGAGTACTGGCAGGACCTTTTGCTACTATGAATTTAGGAGATCTTGGAGCAGAAGTTATAAAAGTGGAAAGACCAGGTAAGCTACTGTTTCCTTTAAAACATAGAAACATTGGGGCCAGCAGGTGGTGTAGTGGTTAAGGTGCTGGACTCCCACATGGCCAACCATTGTTGAGTCCTGGACCCAGAGGATTGAAACTCACTCTGGGCATGTGTACATGTGTGCCCAAAATTCCAGGAGGAGAAAGGAAGAGAAGAGATTGTGGTGTGGCCATCCTCCCAGGGGGTGATTTCTTGCTTTCTCTCTCTCTGTCTCTCTGGTGAGCGTATGAGCACTATAGCAAAAATCTATCTCTAAAACAATCAAATAAACAAGCAAACAAACCATAGAAACAAGCTAATAAATATTTTTAGTAGTTCTTTGCATATTCATGTTTAGTGTACCTGTAAGTATAATAAGGAGAGGATTGAAATGAAATGATTATTTTCTCTCATTCCTTATTTTTCTGAACCTATACTAATGATTTCTTTTTATTCTTAGTCTATGCCAAGGCTGGCATCTAGCCAGTTCCTCACACACATCTGAAATCTTCTGGGATGCCACATATAATAGTGATCACAATGCCAGCGTAGTTCCAAGTGCATTTCCTGTTTTAGATATGTCATCCTTACAGAAACCCAGTGGGCTGATGTTATTATTTCTAGTTTATAGGTGAGAAAATTGAGGTACAGAGAGGTAAGACAATTTGTTCAAGATCACATAGCTACTAAGGAATATTCAGCATTCTGGTCTGATCCTGGCCTTTCTTAGCCCCCTGCAAGCCTTTCTGTTGAGACTGAGATTAGAATGAGTCTAGCCCCATTCCCTCACTGCTGGACTTCCCTTTGGAAGGCAGAGACAAGGGAAGGATAAAAGAGAAGAAATAGGTTATAGAAGGGGAGAAGAAAAAAAACAAAAACAAAAACAAAGTCCTTCAAGAAAGAACCCCAATACCCCAGTCATTCTTTCTTATTTCTAGTATGAGAAACATTTTCACATTTTATACTTTTAAAGGTTTTGGGCAAAACTCTTAAAGTTAGATCACTTCTGTGTCTGTATTTTTTTTTCTTTTTCTTTCTTTCTTTCTTTTATTTTTTTAGAGGTTTTTGCTATAGGGTGCGTGCGCTCTCCAGAAAGACAGAGACAGAGAGTGATAAAGAGAGAAATCACCCCCGGGGGGATGGCCATGCCGCAATCCCTTCTCCTCCATTCTCCTCTCGGGATCTTGGGCACGAACGCACATGTGCCCGGCGTGAGTTTAAGCCATCGGATCTGGGACTCAAAGCTGGTATTGATAAAGTTGCTTAGAAAAGAGCCATTGTTGTGTGCCCTTTTTCTCCAGCAAGTACTTCCAGGGCATCGTCCATGTTTTTTATGTCCTCTATATCATTCTATAAAGAGCTTGTTTTTTAAAAAAATGAATAGTGCTTATGCTTCAGGATCTGATCTTTATGGGTCTGGGATATTGAGAATGGCCAAATTACTGATAACAGTCTAGTACTGAAAAGTATGGGCATGTTTGTAAGATTCAAAAGAGACTTATATATAATTATTTAAATTTGGTAATTTACCATACACGATAAGCCCTATAAAGTAAAATAACCAATGTGGAAGATTTGATTCCTTAACAAAGATTTTTTTTTTTTTTTTTTTTTTGTAGAGAGATTTTTGCTATAGGGTGTATGTGTCTCTCTAGGAAAGTCAGAGAGAAACAGAGAGGCAGAAAGTGAAAAATCACCCCCTAGGAGGGATGGCCATGTTGCAATACCTTCTCAATTCTCTTGGGATTTTGGGCATGCATGCACATGTGCTTGGCCTGAATTATAAGTTGCTGGGTTCGGACTCAAACTGTGGTTGACTATGGGGAAATTCAGTGACACAACCATTTCACCATCTGCTGGTCTCAATATAGATCTTTTTAGGAGGCCAAAGCAGTGAGCAAAAGATTCTCTGATCAGCATGTAGAATATTGCATATTGTGTTATATCCTATTGTATCGTATTCTGAGCCTGTGATTATCACTCTCCAGTGCTAGAAGTGTCTGGGAGTCTTGCTCCCAGAGATACTGCTTCGTTTATCTAGTCAGTGATGTTCATGCTTTTGGTTATTGCTGGGTACATGCTAAAGAATGTTTACATCCTAGTTGGCTTTCTGGATGAACATCTTTCCATCCCAGCTTCTTCAGAGCATCTAATTTTCACATTGCCATTTGATTTCAACATCACAGCATTCCTGTTTGCAAACATTGGTTCCTGTGTTTTCCATTTATAGATAGAGCATTCAATCTAATTTCTCTTGCTATTTCAGTTGGCTACTAGGCTAATGTATATATTAATTAAAAAAATCTTATCCCCTATTTACCTAGACCTATTTCTCCTTTGTATATTTAGTTCTTTCTTTGTCTAAACCTTTATTAAGTCCATCACCAAACACTTATCATAAAGCTTTGTTCCTAGCAAATGCTTATTGTTTAACTTTTTTTAACTGCTTACTCTGACTTTTTCCCTTAATCTTCCCAAATAGTACATTTTTTATAGGGGACAGGGTCTTACTATGTCACGATCCTCCTGCCTCAGCTTCCTGAGTAGTTGGAACTATAGGCATGTCCCATAATGTCCAAATCTTTTTTAAACAGCATCTCACTATGTTGCCCAGGCTAGCTTCAAGCTCACAATTCTTCCTTAGCCTCTCAAGTGGCAGGGAAAACAAATGTGGGATCTTGTCTGAGGTTTTTAGAGTAGACTGAAATTGAATCCAGGCCTCCCATGTGGCCTGAGCCTGTGAGGAGTAGCTTCAACCAATGTGCAGTACCAAGGCTGGGCTGACATTTTAATGTTCACTACTATCAAATGGTTATATTGACCATATATTAAATGGTTTGGAATTTTGGGTATAGTTGTTCAACATGGGTATAAGAAAAAGTTACTTAGTACGTCGTTGGACAAGGAGCCTATGCCCTGGTCTAGAAACCTGAAACGGGTCCTACCCTTCACTGCTCAACAAAATGCAGAAAGGCAATATGTGGATGAGTGCGGAAAGGAGAATTTATTACAGTGTATGGGAAGACATATAAGAGTATCTGTGACTGGTCAGTCAGCCTACAGGTGCTTTTATAGGGTAAAAGATATGCTATGGGCCAAGCAGGTATCTACAAACAAGCATAGGTCAAGTTCAATATTTTTTTAAGTTGCCCCACCCCCATAGGGCATGGTCCTCACCAGTGAGAGACAGAGAGGGAAAGCACAAAATCATACCCCAAAGGAAATGGACATGTTAATTTTTAGCTGGGGTGGGGGCACAATCAAGTGATTTGTTTTTGAGACAGGAGTTTCAGTTTTAGTTAAGGGTATAATAAAATTATTCATCTTTTAGAGAGGAGTTTCAGCTTGTGTCTGGAGTAGAATGTCCCTCGATTTCAAGCTCCAGGTTGATCATTTGCTTCTTTGGAGTTCCTGTGAAAAGTCCCAAACAAAGAGTATCAAGCTGAGAGAAAAACAATTTTTGAGTTAACAAGATGGAGTCAATATGGCTCAAGTAGGCCCCTGTTACAAGTAGAACTTTCCTTAAAAGCAACCTGGTAGCATTCTCAAGTTTTTGTGGAGAACTAGTGTATTTTTATGTCCACTTCTCCAGTTCTTTGATTCAACATTGCCTATAGTTTTATGACTCAGGACTTAAATTGTCCTTATTGTGTAATTAAAGCACAATAAAATTTAAGAAAGAATAATTTTTTTCTTTTAAGAATTATTTAATTTAATTTATTATTATTATTATTATTGTTATTTAATTTGACCACAGAACTACAGACAGAGACACAGAAGGAATGTGAGAAAGGAAGCCACCAGGTCCAGGACTTGAACCACAGTTGGCCATGTGGGGAGTCCAGTGCCTTAATCACTATACCACCTGCCAGCCCCAAAGCACATTAAAATTAAATATACTTTTTTCTTCAGTTTGTAGACTTAGCCAGTCAGTAGAAGTAATTTATATGTTAGCAGGATCAGAGAGGGGACCTGAATGAGGAATGTGGGCTGAGAAAGGCAGTAAATGATGACACTGAAATTCTGTAATTGTTCCCACTAGGCAGAGATTTGAGGATAGGGAGATTTTGGGCATGTACGCACATGTGCCTGGCCTGAGTTTGAAGCCACCAGATCTGGGACTTGAACCACAGTGGGCCATGTGGGAATCCAGTGACGTAACTATTGCATCATCTGCTGGTCCCACAGCCACATTTCTTATTAAACTCTGACTCATTTCTTTTTTTTTTTTTTTCAGAGAGATTTTTGCTATAGGGTGTGGGCACTCTCTGAAGAGACAGAGAGAGATGGAAAGCAAGAAATCAGCCGCTGGGTTGGGGTGACCACACTGCAGTCCCTTCTCCTCCATTCTCATTTGGGATCTTGAACATGCACACACCCATGCCTGGCAGGAGTTTAAGCTGCTGGGTCTGAGACTTGAACTTCAGTTGACTACGTGGGAGTCCAGCGGCGTAACCATTATGCTATCTGCTGGTCCCAAACTCCGCCTCATTTCTATTGGGCCTTTTCAGATTCTTACAGTTCATTTTCCCCTTGATGTTTTGAATATGCCATTCCTTTTCGTACTTAGCATTTATTGCTTTTTGTCATTATTGATTTGTATCCAGTTAGAACTGCTGTTTCTTTTCTCCTCTGTCCTATGTATTGTTTTTCATTTTTTAAAATAAATGAGTTTATTTTTTGCCTCCTTTTTCTCCAACAGAATAGCACTTAATTTTTCAAATCAATTTTAGTGAGTAAAGATTAATGAGGGTGACCAGCAGTTAGCGTAATGGCTATGTCGCTGGACTCCCACGTAGTCGACAGTGGTTCGAGTCCCGGACCCAGTGGCTTAGACTCACGCCAGGCACGTGTGCGTGTGTGCCCAAGATTCCGAGAGGAGAATGGAGGAGAAGGGATTGTGGCATGGCCATCCCCCGTGGGGGGGGGGATTTCTCGCTGTCTCTCTGTCTCTCTCTGTCTTGCTAGCGCACGTGCCCTATGGCAAAAACCTCTTAAAAAAAGAAAAAAAAATAAAAAAAAGAAAGATTAACGAGGGACCAGCTGTTATTGTAATGGCTATGTTTATGAACTCCCATGTAGCCAACCATGGTTCAAGTCCCGGACCCCGTGGCTTAAACTCATGCTGGACGTGTGTGCATGTGTGCCCAAGATCCCGAGAGGAGAATGGGAGAGAAGGGATTGCGGTATGGCCATCCCCCCTGGGGGGTGATTTTTCCACTTTCTATCTCTCTGTCTCTCTCTGTCTTTCTGGAGAGCACACGCACCTTATAGCAAAAACCTCTCCAAAAAGATTAATGGCTAATGATTATATTATTGAAATGACTAGAGTTTAAAACTTTACCTGCATTCACAGATTATTTTTTGGGAAATGCTAGTAATGAATTTTTTTTTAAGAGATATTTTTACTATAGGGTGCGTGCACTTGCCAAAGAGAGAGAGAGACAGAGAGACAGAAAGTGAAAAATCACCCCCTGGGGGGGATGGCCATGGTGCAATCCTTCAGCTCTGTTCTCTTGGGATTTGGGACACACACACACACACACACACACACACACACACAAAACACACAAACACATACACATACACACACGCACCTGGTGTGAATTTCAAAGCTCTAGGTCTGGGACTCAAAATGCTATTGGCCACGTGGGAGACCAGTGACATAACCACTATACCATCTGTTGGTCCCAGTAATGAATATTTTAATTATAATTACCTCTTTAGTGATTAGTTTCTTATATCAATATTTGGCTGCATTTAATATTATTAAAATCTTAACTTAAAGATGGAGTAATGGTTGTGTCTCTGGACTCCCACATGGCTGACTGCAGTTTGAGTCTCTCCTCTGGGGGGGGATTTCTTGCTTTCAGTCTCTCTGTCTCTTTCTGTCTCTCCAGCAAACACACATGCCCTATAGCAGAAACCGCTCAAAAAGAAAAATATCTTAATTTAAGTAATACTATTTTGTGCCATTTAATTATTAATTCATTTTCTATGTTCTATCTATGTCCTTGACCAATTGCTTTTTGTGCATAGAAAACATTTTTCTGTAATTTGGTAATGTTGTCTTTGAATCAAACATTATGCATTTCAGAATTACTTGAGTATATGGTCACAATAAAATATCCTGTTTTTTTTTTTGTTGTTGTTGCTGTTATTGTTGTTTTTCGACTTTTACTTTGAAGCAAGACCTAGAAGACTAAAATTTTATTCTAAAATATTATTTTAAATTATTGGGCCAGGGGAACCAGCAGATAGCGTAATGGCTATGTTGCTGGACTCCCACGTAGTCGACCGCGGTTTGCGTCCCGGACCCGGTGGCTTAAAACTCATGCTGGGCGCATGTGCGTGCGTGCCCAAGATCCCGAGAGGAAAATGGAGGAGAAGGGATTGTGGTGTGACCATCCCCCCGGGGGGTGATTTCTCGCTTTCTGTCTCTATGTCTCTCTCTGTCTGTCTGGCGAGTGCATGCACCCTATAGCAAAAACCTCTCAAAAAAAAATTTTTTTTTGGGCCAGGTGGTGGTGCAGTGCTAAGGCAGCTGGGCCCACATGAGAAAGGTCCTGCAATTGTGTCCTGGGACCTCCTGGAGCATGCTGGGATGCGTGTGCCTGTGATCCAGGCAAGCTAAGAATGAGGTTGGAGTATAGCAGGAAGACCCTTTTGGGGATGCATCTCTCCCTCTCTCTTACTCATGGAAGAAAGAAATGTGAACTTTAAAACAAAAGAAAGAAAGAAATTATTGGCATTTGGTATTCTGTAACTTATTTTGCCTTTTCGGAATTGCTGTTACTTGTGAAGGTTAACTTTGGGTGTCAGCTGGACTGGATTGAAGCTGTTGAAAGGCTGGTGAAATGTTATTTCTAAGTGTATCTGTGAGAGTGTTGACAGACAAGATTGGCGGTTATGTCACTGGGCTGAGAGAGGAAGACCCACCTTCAATGTGGGCTGGCATCACCCAGTCATCTGGGAGCATAGGGACAGAGGAAGCAGGATTTTGTTTCTTCCTCCTGTCCCCTTCTTTCAACCCTTCCAGTGGGTGCTGTGTTCCACTTCTACACTTTCTGCTGACTGTTGGCCTTTTTGCCTCTCTAACCAGACAGACTCCAAGTTCTTTAACCTCTGGACTCTGGATTTATACTAGTGGCTCTCTGAGGTCACTTGGACCTGCAGCTTTCTGAGTGCCCCCTTTAGGCTTCAGCCTGAACTGTACCAGCCTCTCTGCTTCAGATTCTTTCAACTGTTTTTCTAGCTTACATAGCTTTGTAAGTGTGTGAGATAACTCTTGTAATAAATTCCTTTTTTTTTTAAGAGAGATTTTTCCATGGGGTGCATGTGCTTGCCAGAGAGACAAAGAGAAACAGAGAGACACAAAGTGAAAAATCACCCCCCCACCCCAGCCATGGCCATGCCACAATCCCTTCTCCTCCATTCTCTCTCAAGAATAAATCCCTTTTTTTATAAATATTTTGTTGGTTCTGTTTCTTTGGAGAACCTTGACTGATACATTGATACTGAAATAGTTTATACTTGTTTTTGTTAGGTTTGTGTGAGCCTCACTGGAGAGAGAGAGAGTAAGAAAGAGGGAAAGTGAGAGATCACTTGGCCACACTGCAATTTCTTCTCCTCTATTCTCCTCTCAAGACTTTGGGCACACATGTACATGTGCCAAGGGCTGGGAATTGAATCTGTGGTTGGCAATGTGGGAGTCCGGAGCCTTAACTATCATGCCACCTGCTGGCCCCAATATTTAAAGCACTCTTCAATACCTATCTCTGTATGTGCTGCTTGGTCATAGAAACTCATGTCATTCTTTTTTTTTTCAGTTTTTGTCAAAGGAAAAATTGTGTCTGCAAAAGCACTCCTCATGGGGTATTGTCATGCTACAATCCCTTTCCCTCCACTTTCCCTCCTTTTAGGATTTTGGGCATACACGCACATACATGTGGTGTGTTTTACAAGCTGCCTGGTCAGGGACTCAAACCATATAATCAGCAAGATTGAGCCACCTTAACCACCAAACCACAGGCTGGCCCCTCACATCATTACTCTGATGTAAATTGTGTTTTGGTGTTATTTAAATTTGCATTATATTTAGACAATGTTGCAAGGGTAACAACATGATGCTCTGCAATTGCAGACCCACATAGGAGGGTTCCAGGTTTGTGTCCAGGGACCTCCCTGAGCATACCGCCTGTGGTGTTCATGACCTGGGGCTGGCAGAAGCTGGGGTTGAGATGCAGTGTCAGGACCCTGATGGGACTGCTATCTCTCTGTATGTCTCTTTATTTTTTATCAATGTCTCCCTTGTTCATGGAATGAATGAGTGAATATATGAATAAAAATTTGTAGGTAGCAAAATTCTTTCACTGTTAACATTTTCTTTGTATGTTCAATGCCAAGAAACGCTGAAAAAGCTGACTGAGTTACTTGTCAAAAACTGAGAATAATTTTTCACTCTGAAATTTTCTATTTTTTAAATTCAGAGACTTGATGTAGGATATTTCCTTCTGGATTTTGACTTTTAAGAGTAGACTTTAATAATTAACATGAACAGGGGCCAGCAGTTGGCGTAATGGCTATGTCGCTGGACTCCCACATAGTCGACCACGGTTCGAGTCCCGGACCTGGTGTCTTAAACTCACGCCGGGTACGTGTGCATGCGTGCCCAAGATCCTGAAAGGAGAATGGAGGAGGTGGTGGTGGTGATTTCTCGCTTTCTGTCTCTCTGTCTCTCTCTGTCTATCTAGCGAGCGCACGCGCCCTATAGCAAAAAAAAAACCTCTCCAAAAAAAAAAAAAAATTAACATGAAGAGATAAGGACCTGGGCAGTTCTACAATAATAAGCAACGTTAGCCCCACTAGGCTGCTGATTCTTTTTTTAAAAAAATAATTATTTTATTTAACATTATTTATTTTAATTTGACTAGAGAGGGACAGAGAGAGAGAAAGTGAGAAAGCAAGCCATCAGGTCTGGGACTCAAACTGTGTTTGACCATGTGGGAGTCCAGCGCCCTTAACCACCATGCCACTTGCTCACCCCTAAGCTGCTGACTCTGATAGGATGAGATTATCTTGTTTAGGGTCCTGTGAATGTGTATGGTCCATTTGCCTGTTGATTTGAAATGACTCTGATGTTTCAAAGTTAAAGATTAAGGGCCAGCTTCATAGCCAACTAGTTGAGTGAGCTGGATCCCACATTGCTGACTGCAGTTTGAGTCCCAGACCTAGTGACTTAGAAACATACTGAGCATTGGGACCAGCAGTTGGCGTAATGGCTAGGTTGCTGGTCTTCCATGTGGTTGACCATGTTTGAGTTCTGGACCCGGCAGCTTAAACTCATACTGGGTCATACTGGGTGTGTGTGCGTGTGTGCCCAAGATCCCGAGATGAGAATGGAGGAGAAGGGATTGCTGCATGGCCATCCCCCCTGTGGGTTGATTTCTCACTTTCTGTCTCTCTGTCTCTCTTTCTGGTGAGTGCACACACCTATAGCAAAAACCTCTCAAAAGAAAAGAAACATGCTGAGCATGTGTGTATGCATGCCCCAAACCTGACGTGGTGGAGAAGTGGAAGGGGTGCTGTGGCATGACCACGACCCACTGTGGTGTGCTTTCCCCTCTCTTCATGGCAAGCACGTGTACCCTCTGGCGAAATTCTTAAAAATGTAGAAAATATTAATAACTCGTATTATCATTTTCAGGAGCTGGTGATGATACACGAACCTGGGGGCCACCATTTGTGGGGACGGAAAGTACATATTTTCTCAGTGTTAACCGAAATAAAAAAGTAAGTATGTCGTATTTGCTGTTTTTGCTTTCTTTGTGGAATTCTCTCATTAATAACAAAATATTGATACCATTGTGGCCTATTTGCTTTCTTTCTACTTTTATAAATGAAATTAATATTTCAAATACGGTGAAATTTTATTCATTCACCAGTCAATAAATAGAAACCATTGGGATTTTTCTTCTCTATTAAGTAACTTAAAACTCTTCTTGATGAGTGTGCCCTCTTGAAAAAAAAAAAAGAGAGAGAGCGAGTGAGAGAGAGAATGTGAATCACTTAACACTTGGTGTTATTACTGGAAAACATTTACTGTAGTCCTTGCTGTCTTCTTAACATAGCCTAATTGCAAATAAAATCAGTGAAAATGATTTAAATATTTCTCCGTGAAGAAATGTTCTTTAATAGGAGAATGTACAGTATGAATCTTGTTGAACCGTCAGTGATAAGAAAAACCTTTACAATAGTACTTACATATATATAGAGAGATATATGTATGTATGTTTTATTTTCTAGAGTATAGCTGTTAATATCAAGGATCCAAAAGGAGTGAAAATCATCAAAGAGGTACAGTAGTCTTTATGGAAGCCATCTGATAACCTAGGTTGTAATCAGAGATTTGAATATCAGGATAAAAGTCTTTTAAAACTTTATTTCATTGACACTCTATTGTATATTTTGCTACAAATGCCATTTAAAATTTAAGCTTGCCTTTTATATTTTTATGATAAGTATAATGTACTTTATAATTTTTTGTATAATATATTTAGGCTTGTGTAATATGTATATGTATATAATATTATACATAATTATAGCACTAATTACTATTGATTGAGTGCCTTCTTTGCCTCAGATCCTGGGATTAGGCACTTTATTTACATTATTTCTTCTAATCTTCAGAGTTTTCCTTCTATTAGTAGATGAAATAGGGGGCCAGCAGGTGACGTGGTGGTTAGGGCACTGGACACTCCCACATGACCGACCACTGTTTGATTCCTGGACCTGGTGGCTTGCTCTCTCCCTTTCCTTCTCTCTGTGTGTCTGTCTTTATCTGGTCAAATGAAAATAAATGAATAAATAAAATGTTAAAAAAATAGATTAAAAAAAAAAAAGACGAAATAGGGACCAGCAGGTAGTGTGGTGGCTAAGGTGCTGGACATTCCCACATGGCTGACCATGGTTCGAGTCCCAAACCTGCTGGCTTGCTTTCTCACTTTCTCTTTCTCTCTCACTCTCTCGCTGTGTTCAAATTAAAATAAATCAATGAATAAATAAAATTAAATAAACAAATCTTTAAAAAATAGATGAAATATTAGAATCTTTTTGGGAGGGAATTGATTCTCATGGGGTGTAAGTGATGCTCCAAATATTACATAGCTAGTATTAAATTAAATTAAATTTGGCCTCTTCATGTAGTGAACTACAATCTAACTTAGTATGTAAACAAACTGCATCCTAAATTATATATTCTTAAAAGATGGCAGTGTGTCAGTCAATCACAGCAACTGAGCTTCAGTCACAGGCTGCCAGCTGATCAGATCAGGTCCACATAAGGCAAACGCCAGGCTGTAACCAATGTTGCCACTTACTCTTTCTGTCCATGAATATGGTCTGCCCACGTTGCTAGTCAGAACTTTGAAGCTCTCCTAGCTCTGAGTGCCACCTGATTTATGAACAATTCTTTGCTCAAATAAGCTTTGATAAATTTAAATTTAGTTAAATTTTCTAACATTTGCTCAGATGACCAGTATATCCAGTCTTGATCTCACATCTTTCTTTGTGGGGGCAAGATGGCGTAATGGTTAAGGGTATATACCTTCTTGTGATATTTGTTTGTTTTTAGAGAGATTTTTGCTATAGGGCACCTGTGCTCTCTGGAGACACAGAAAACAGGAAATCACCCCCTGGGGGGATGGTCATGCTACATCTCTTCTTTTCTTTTGTTGGTATTTTGAGCACACATGCACATGTGCCTGGCATGAGTTTTAAGCCGCTGGGTCTGAGACTCAAACCATGATCAACTACGTGGGAGTCCTGCAACACAACCATTATGTCATCTACTGGTCCCCTTTCTTGTGATATTTGAATCTTATCTCCTTTGTTTACTGTATGTCCACAGGCAAATTTCTTAATTTCTTTGTACTTTGACTTTCTCACTGGTAAACAGGATAATAATAGTATATACCTCCTACGGTTGTTGTTAAACTTGAGTTATATGTGTAAAATGTCTAGAAAAGCGCCTGTCACATTGCTAGCACTCTGGGTATTAGCTATGACTACTTCCTGATGCACATGAAGTTAGAGTTATGTGAGATAATGTCATCCTTGTTAAGGTTTGCAGTCTAATTTGATTAGCAAGCTTAGTCTCAGATTTTGTTTATTTACCAAAGCATCAACTTTAGCTTCATTTCTGCATAGCTACCTTATCTATCTTGGTGATTGAAAGAGAAATTCTTTTAATTATGAAGACCAGAATCAGTGACAATCTTCTTGGTTCTACCGGATCAATCCAACAAATTTAGAATTTTTGTTTACTAGATGTATTTTAAACCCAATGCTTGAAAAATTGGCCTGATCTTATCACCCTGCTTTCCCAAGTATTTTCCGTAGCATAGCTAGGTTCATTTGTTTTTTCCTTCCAGTTGAAACTTAGTTTGATTTTTCTAAATTTTTCTCCATTATTGTCAGTCTGCTCTGTGTTCCTGTAGTTCCTACTCTCCCCTTGGACCTAACTCACACAGCCTTCCTTGTCAGGCCCCTTTTTAGATTCTTTTTTCCTCCCCAGCAGTTATTACTATTTTTATCCAGAAGATTGTTTTTTTCCTCAGTGCTTCTCTTTCTGTTCTGTGTTTCTCAGTTCCGTCTTCGGTGTTCACAGTTCTTTTTCTTTGCTTCCAGGTCATAACATGCTGATATTTTATACTGAGTCAACATTTCAGATTTAATTTAACAAACACTTTACTTTCATTAGGGCTCTGTAGAGGGCCAGTGTTGGGTGGAGTTCAGAACTGATGCTTCTGAGACATCAGTGTACACATGGATATTTTAGGCCTGCCTGTGTAACTCTCACCAAATAAATGAATTGGTGGTGCTTTCTTCCTCTCTCCTTAGATTCTGCTAGTATCCTATACCAGATTGTAACAATTTAAAATTAAAGTTTTGGGCCAACTCCATGATCTGGTTGTTAAGGCAGCTGGATCCCATATAACCCACGTGTGGTTGGAGTCCTGGACCTGGTGACTTGAGAAATATACCTGGTATGTGTGTGTTTGTGCCCAAAATCTTGAAAGGAGGGAGAGATGGTGGAGAAGGATTGGGTGTGAGCATTCACCATGGGATGTACTTTCTCCTCTCTCTCTCTTTCTGTCTCTGGTGAGCACTTTCACCTTCTAGCAAAACAAAAATAAAAACAGAAACAAAAGCAGAATCAAAAACACCCCTTTTATTGTGGGCTTGATTTCTTTTCAAGTCTGATCATGATGAAGTGCGTTTTACTCCAATTAAACTTAATAGTCTGGGGGACATTATTATGTCTTTTGCATTTAGCTAGTTATTCATAAATTACTATCTTACTGTCTGTGGAAAAAAGTTATTTTCTTTGTTTTTATACTATCCTGGCTTGGATTTTTTTGTTTGACTGCAAGAGTAGCAAAACAACCTCTGGATGCAGACTTTGGTGGTCATGTTTACTAATATCATAAATCTAGTTTATAGAAATGGTTCTGCAGTATTCTACAGGGCAGTCAGCAAGGTACGTGAGAGCTCCAGAACGTATGAGTGCTTTGTCTGCCTCGTTAACCTGAACAGGTGGGGTGAAAGGAAAACCTACGTGATGCCCGGTGTGGCCATGCGATTCGGTCACTCTGAACATGTGCCATCCTACATTCCGAGTCATTCTCTGTGCTAATTAACAGGATATCCCCTATGGGTGTGTCTGATAGTCAGCAGAGCAATGCCATTGGTTTTATTTTCCTCCAACATTTTATTATGAAAAATTAAACCATGTAGTAAAGTTGATTGAATAATTAATGAACTCCCATTTATCTTATGCCCAGATAAAACAATTTTAGCATTTTGCTATATTTGCTTGTATACATGTGATGAGTATGTTTTAACCATTTGAAAATAAGTGGAAGATAGCCATTTCTTACTTCTCCTTTCAGTTCCATGGAACTGCCCTTAAATCCTTCAGACTATATCTCCTAAGAATTAGGATATTCTTTTTTTTTTTTTTTGAGTATTTTTCTGATAAGGCCCATATGCTCGTCAGGGAGACAGAGAGAGACAAAAGGCGAGAAATCACCCCCGGAGGGGGGGATGTCCATGCTGCAATCCCTTCTCCTCCATCCCTCTCAGGATTTTGGACATGCACATCATGTACCCAGTATGAGTTTCAAGCCAGTGGGTCCGGGACTCGAACTACATACAGCCAACTAAGTGGGAGTCAAGCGATGTAACCATTATGCCATCTGCTGGTCCCAAGGACATTCTTTACGTATCGTTTTAAAATAATTTTATGATTATTTTCCTCACAAATATGGTTTAATTATTATCATCTCTTTACCCTCTGTTTCCTATCTTCCTGACCTAGTCTGTTCCTCAGTTATATCTAGTGATGAACTCAGAATTAGGCACTATCTGTTCAAATTGCTTTGAGATCTCATTTCCTCTTTGACTGGAAGAAAGATTCGTTTCTCTTTCAAAAACGAAATGATGGAGAATTTTTTTAACTCACATAAAATCGTGCTTGCTTTTTTTTTTCTGGGCAAGGTTCTAGAATAGACTGTGAAGTGATTTGTGAGCACCCACATAAGGAAGAGATGTATAATTGTGAACAGTGTAAGTAGGAGCAAGTCTTTTTCCCCTCACTTTATTTCCTAGGAGAGCCTTGAGTTAAGGAAATGCACTAAACGTGGTCTCCACTGAAGCAGGTGGTCGGTATAGTGCTTACAGTGTGGAAATGATGATGCTGGAGCAGCTGGAGTTATAATTTCTATATTAATAAATCTGTTCGTTCACAGGAGTTTTTCTGTGGCTCTGATTTCTATAAGACTGTTCCGTTTAGAATTTTTATGAACGGGGCCAGCAGGTGGCGTGGTGGTTAAAGGCACTTGATTTCTATATGGTTGACTGTGGTTAGAGTCCTGGACCAGGCGGCTTTCTTTCTTGCTTTCCCTTTCTCTTTCTTTGTCTCTGTCAGTCAAATTAAAAAATAATAACAACAAATGGAATTAAATAAATACATAATTTTTAAAAAGAAAAGAATTTTTATGAATGACTTACTGAAAGCTATGAGGAACATACGCGATCTTGAAAGGTGTCAATGTCCTGAAATAGAAAGGGAGAAAGAGTATATTGGATGACAGACTCACTAAGAATCATGTGCCAACCTATGGCAGGCATTTGTGAAGGCTGGATTGCACATGACTGACTGCATGGTTTGAGTCCTGGACCCAGCAACTTGAGAAACTTTCTGGACACCTGTGTGTTTGTTCCCAAAAGCCCTAAAGGAGGGAGAAATGGAGAAGGGATTGTGGTTTGACCATTTCCCGTGAAGGATACTTGCTTACTTTATCTGTCCAATGAGTGCTTGCACCCTCTGGAAAAAAATGAAACAATTGAAAAAAAAAAAGAGAAAAATAAAGAATTAGAATTTAAAGAGTGGCTAGTACATTTTTACTTATAGTAAATGTTCATAAAATGGAAAAAAATTTCTACCATACCTCATTTCCAGAAATATTTTAATAATAAATATCATAATGCATACATACTGACTTCTTGGCTAATCATAAAAAAACACTGAGCATCTATTTTTTTAAGGATAAATTTTTGCTATCGAGTGCATGCACTCGCTGGAGAGACAGAGACAGAGACAGAAGCGAGAAATCACCCTCCAGGGGGAATGGCCACACTGCAATCCCTTTTTCTCCATTCTCCTCTCAGAACCTTGGGCACGCATGTACATGTGCCGGGTGTGAGTTTTAAGTTGCTGAGTCTGGAACTCGAACTGCAGTTGACTACATGAGAGTCCAGTGACATAACCATGATGCCATCCACTAAGCATCTTTGTCAGTAAAAATCTATCATGTATTAGAACCTCATTCCTGTTTATAGCTTAATAATGTTCTGCTTTATTGATGAATACGTTCATCTGTTGATGGACACTTGTGATGTTCCATCTTTTGGCTGTTGTGGGTGATGCACATACAAGTATCTATGTCCCTGTTTTCAATTCTTTTGGGTATATACCTAGGAATAGCATTGCTGTGGCTGTTTCACTTTTTTGAGGTGGCTCCAGAAGATTTTTAAAATTAAAAGTAATTTATTAAATGCTGTATGCATAAGGTGCTGTATTAGACACTATGAAGAATAGATGCAACAGAGAGATGACAGTGTAGAAGCCTAGATCTATTAGACATAATTTCTTTTGTTTAGTTTCTGCAGGAGTGCTTCGTAAGTAATAGAAGCTCAGAAAAATTAGAATAAATTAAGAGATACTGGTTTATATTTTTAAAAATAGTTTATTTAATCCATGAGGTAGACAGAAATAGAGAGGGAGAGGCAGGCACCTCCAACAGAGTCTTCATGCCATGATGCACACCCAGTTTCCCCTGGCTGGGCTCCTGGCCGTGAGGAGGTGCACCCAGTATGCTCACGGAGGTCCCAGGAAGCAAACCCTGAACCTTTCCCACGTGGGTCCATTGTGTCACCACAATGCCACTGCCTGGTCCCTGAGGTTTGAATTTTACTTAGCATTGAAACGTGTCCACTGAATCCCCAAGCAATACTTGGTAGGAATTATTAATTACAAATATGTGGGATATTCAAAAAGTTCACAGAAAATGTGTATTATAAAAAAACTATGCATAGGTTTCGAAACTTTTTGCTTCATGCTTTCATATTATTTTCTGTAAACTTTTCACAGTCCCTTAATAAATGCATCCCTATTGGGGCTCTCCCTGGAGCATGCTGAATGGAATTGCCTACATGAGAAGTAGCCCCGTTGTTCATTTGGCATCTGAAATTTGGAAAGGAGGCCTGTATGACTTGAGACTTGAAAACCTTTCTATTTCTGTCCCAAATCTTAATATATTTATCATGTCTCTCCTGAGAAATGATCACCTGGGCCTCTGGTACCCATTTCAAGGGCTCTGGAGGATGACGGCTTATTTCCTCGAGGCACCTCCTTAGATGAACTCCACTCTCCCTTATTATTAAGTCAGGGAGTTTTATATAAACACACCAAATTTAGTGAAAGGATAGCAGAAAACCACTTTATTTACGTGGTTACATTTAAAGTTTACATGAATTCAGCTTTTTCCATCTAGAGCAGAGGTTGGCAAACTATGGGGCCATGTCAGGCATGTTTTTATATGGCCAATGGACTAAAAATACATTTTAGATTTTGTATTTTTAGCTCATTGTTAAAGACAAATAAAGAATATGTGACTGAAAACGTATGTGCCTATAAAACCTAAACTATTCACTATTTGATACTTTATAGAAAGGAATTTGCAACTTCGGATTTAGGATCTTATTCTCTTATTAGTTTGTATGTGTGTGAATATGTATAAATCTAAGTCAACATGTCAGTCACAATCATTTATTGAAGTTATTAGGCACCTGGATATGTTTAAGAATTAAAGTAATGAATTTCTCTGCTTGACCTATAATTTTTGGCTTTAAAAAAGACTTTAGAAGATACGTAGTTACATTTAAAATATTGAAGAAAATTAAGAATAAGTTTATAATGGTCTATTGTTCTCTAATTCCTGTACCAGTGGCCTGGAAATCAAAATCTGGGTCTTGTTTCTGACAATTACTGGTTTACTATAATAGTTTGAAAGGAAAAAAACCACAATAGCTCATTAAGTACATTTGAAACTCTTTGGAAACAAAGCATCTGTAAGCGTGAAAGTATTTCAGAATCATATTTACATGTATTCTTAAAAAATAATTATAGGAGCCAGCAGGTGGTGTGGTAGTTAGGGCACTGAACTCCCTCATGGCCAGCTGTGGTTCGATTCCTGGACTTGGTGGTTTGCTTTCTCACTTTCCCTTTCTTTCTCTCTTTTTCTGTTAAAATTAAAAAATAAATAATAATAACAAATAAATCTTTAAAACAGAATTATTTATTCAATTTTATTTATTATTATTATTTTAAAAACTTGCTATAAGGCATATGCACTTATCAGAGAAAGAGGGGGAAAGAGAGAGAGAGTGCGCGAGCGAGCGAGAAAGCAAGATTCCAGGTCTGGGACTCTGAACTGTGGTAAGCCATGTAGTAGTCCAACACCTTAACCACCACGCCACCTGCTGGCCTGCATATTTACATGTATTAAGTGTATGTTATAGTAAGGAATATTACATAAGGGGGTGGACTATAGTAAAGACATTGTATTTATTTTCTTGCGAAGGTTTTAAAAGATACTTTTCTTGTAGTTTATGTACTTATAATTTTCCCACACAAGAACTTGAGAATATATTTGGACATACCATGTAGTCTAGATATTTCTACATTTAATAGAAGAAAAATAATTTAATACCAGATATTTACAAAAATTAATAACCATTATTTTATCAACAGTAATACTTCAAGTAGTTGAGCAGGTCTTTAATGTTTATCTAATTATACTTCCTCTGTCCTATGATTTTTCTGCATTATTGCGAAAATGAGGATCAATTGTGAATACTAAAATTAAAATTCTATCATGTGGGAATTTGTTGGAAGTTTGGAAGTCCATTAAGAAGTCTGACTCGTCTTCACCTCTTCCTTCAGCTTGCAGCTGTTTGTGATGTATTTGTGGAAAATTATGTCCCTGGCAAACTGTCTGCACTGGGCCTGGGATATGAAGATATAGACAAGATTGCTCCTCACATCATCTATTGTTCCATTACAGGTATTTCAACCCCACTCTCTCTTTAGTGAGTAGATTTTTAAAATTTCTGTGTTTTCTTGTTTTTATAAGAAACTTCTTGCTGGCATTGGTTTTCTTGAAGTAATTTAGGTTTCCTCTCCCTAACTATTTAGGTTGCTAAACATTGACTACTAAGGAATGCCAATCTAAATGAACGTTTTTATAAAATTATTGGTTAGTTGTATTTCTACTTTGATTTATCTGTCTTTAATTTATTCATTTTTTATATTGATATTTTAAATATGTAATATCTTTTGGTAGTATTCTTAAAATAACTTGTTTAATAAAATTTATAATTTAATAATGCTGTTATTAACTCATACATAGGTGAATTAGAGGCGAGGTATTAATTGGCTTTATTTTTTTAAATTTTATGATTTTTGAGGCCAGCAGATGGTATAGCAGTTACATTACTGGACACCCAGTTTGATTCCTGGACACAATGGCTTGAAAATCACACTGGGTGTGGGTGTGTGTGTGTGTGTGTGTGCACGCTCGTGTGTGCCTAGGATCTCTTGAGGAGAATGGAGGAGGAGGTATTGTGTGACCATTCCCTCTGTGGGGTGATTTCTTACTTTCCTTCTCACTGTCTCTGTCTCTCTGGCAAATGCATGTACTCTAAGGCAAAAACCTCTTTAAAATTTATGATTTCTTGTTTACGTTTAATCATTGTGCATTTAAAAAATTATTTACTTAATTTTATTTATATATTTTATTTTTTAAAAATTTGCTACAAGGACCATGCACTCACGAGAGAGAGAGAGAGAGAGAGAGAGAGAGAGAATGAGAAAGCAAGCCTTCAGGTCTGAGACTTGAACTGTGAACAGCCATATGGGAGTCCAATGCCCTAACCACGATGCTACCCACTGGCCCCCAATCATTGTACATCTTTGTAGAATATCATATTGTTTTTCAAAGCATATATGCAGTGTGTGGTAATCAAATTAAAGATATTACCATATATATAATTTTCAACAGAGAACTATATATTCTTTATTTGTTAAATGTTCTTTCCCTGACATGGAAACAACCCATCTGTACATTCTTGTATTTGGTAAATGTTCTTTCCCTGACATGGAAACAACTGAAATGCCCACGAACTGATGAATGGATAGAAAAACTGTGGCACATATACTCAATGGAATACTATTCAG